TTGATGGCCGCGATGCTTTGCTTTTCAGCAGCGTGTTGGCATATGATTTGTGGCGCGCGCGCGCACGGAATAGGCCCGGGGGGGGGTGATGAATGGGGAGGGTTTGTCGCTGCCGACACCGCCGCGTCGAGTCACGCGTCTCAAACCCCGCCCGTGTATCGATACAGCAAGAGTCGGTGGCGTGCGAGCGGCGCGGGGGTGTGCCAGACCCTCTGGGGCGATGAGCTGATGACATGTGCCCCATCAGGGGCAGCGGCGAGAACGCCACGACAAGGCGATAGTCGAAGAGGACCGACGGGCTCGGGTTTGGACGGTGACGAAACGCCGCCGGGCCAAGGCGATTGCTCGCGTCGACTGCCAGTCGATAAGGCTGCTGCAGGCCTTGATTGTCTTCGTCCATGCACTTGTCAAAACAACCATGACAACAGTTCACAAGATAATTCTGGCTCATATTCCCTGGATGGGTGAGCGTATAGATATCGTTTCGTTCATCACTTTGAAGCACACTCAAGCCAGCCATACGGAAGCCTGGCACTAACATTTATAGCCTTGACCACTTCCCTCGGCTGATTACTTAAGCATACCCTGGTGCATCATTTCGTGGGTAGCAACAGCCCACCTCACGTTATCGCCCAGTGCAATCAACCCGTGCAATCAGTGTTAGTGGTACCATTGTTTCATTTGCATAGAATGCGTCTTCGCCACCGCAATATGTCTAATCGTCAGTCGAGCGCGAGCCGCTATCGTGTCGCCCCGTCCCAGCACGTGCTGACCGTATGACCGCTCGGGCAGAAACGACCTTTAGTGCTCCTCGGCAGGCGCCTTTGTTCAGGATGCTTACAGTAATGCACGATGGCTGACCAAAAAGGCAAAAGGCAAACTCGTTTGTTGTGCTGGACGTGGTGGTTATGTTGAGCTCAGTCTTCTCGGCAATGCTCATCCTCACGTGCTGGATTTGCGGGAATCGACTGGCTCCAGCGCCCAAATGCAGGCCAGTCTGGAGCGCCGCCGTGGCGTGGGCGGGGTCGAGCTCTGGTCTGCTGCGGAAGACGCCGCCGCCGTCGCCGCCGATCTTCTGACATGGATGGGAGGTGGTCAGATCATCCTGATCAGCCGTCTGTTCAGGGGTGCTCGGAGCCGACAGTCCTGAGGTCGTCCCTGACCAGGGCCCTTTCCTCGGCGCATGCCGAGCCCCTTCGCTGGGCCGCTGGCACAGCTGACTGTGTGTCTGGCAGCCCCGGCGTACTCCCGTGGTACTTGTTGGCCGTGTGTCTGGTAACCTGGCGTAATCCCGTGGTACGTAGTTGGCTGTACGTCTGGTAACCCGGCGTAACCCCATGTTACGAAGCTAGCCGGCTGATCCGCCCCGGCCCGGGCGAGGTGGGCGTCAGTCCTCAGCGGCTGGGGCTTTCCGGGGGGCCGGGCTGACTTCAGCCGCCGTCGGCCGGCTGGCAGTCGGGGAGTGGCCGACAGACGGGCCGCGCTGTCGTCTGGCGCGTGCTCAGCGGCGCCCACGCTCGGCCACTGCCGTCGGGGCACGGCAGCCTGACGCGGACTCACGAGCTTTGAATCAGCCACGGTGGTGCTCGGCTGGTGCAATCGCCCTTGGAGATTGCAACGTCCGTACTTGTCATGGTGCAAATGTTTTATCTGCGACTAAATCGTGCAGTGGCCATCTATGCATACAGAGACCTCAGATGCTCGTTGTAGCCAGCTCCGAAACGATGGTGTCGCAGGCATTAAATAATATTAAAAAAAAAAAAACGAAGCATTGGCGGTACTGTGAACGGTTCCGCTTGCACTGGCTGCGCTGGCAGTCTGGATGCTTTGCCGGCCGGTACGCCATAGCACTGCCACTACGGCAACGTACGCCGGACCTGCCGGTCCATTAGCCGGCACTTACGCGTTTGATGGCCACGTGTGAACGGGGACACGACCTCGTTCTGCGCGCGGCCCCCTCGCCGGACGACGCGGCGTGCGCCGCGCCGTCCGGCCACCAGCGACCGTTCGGAACACGCGGCCATTATTTTCGTCGCGGCGAAGTCATCGGCGGGATTTATTGTCATAGCGCCAGTCGATGCCAGCGTTGTGCAGCCCACCGCAGTCCCTGCATTATTCGGTCAGTTATGCACCGCCCGCCCCTTCAGCGTGTCAAACCGGGTTGCCTCCGGCCAATTACCCATTCGCCCCATTATCAAATTAATATCAGGTAACACTGCGACTCCAATTCACTCTTTGCAGTTGGTAATGACGCATTAAAATGCCTTGATTGACGGGCGATGAAGGGCACGTTTGGAAACTAACGATCTGTGGCGGTGACGTCACCGCCGTGGCTCGGAGTGGCGGCGGGTCTAGCCCGATTCAAGCGATCAATGAATCGATGTGGGCGACTATTTGAGGCGGCCCGAGCATCGGAGCTGGCCTCTGAGTCATCTCCATGGGGACGTTCTCCGAAGCCGCGCCGCAGCACAACAGCCGCCCGCCGGGCGCCCCGGGCGCCTCGGGCAGCGGGCTGTTCGTTACATGTCGCGCGGCGCTGCCGCTTTTATTGTTTGAATGGTGACAGTTGTGGTCTCGTTGATGTCGCTTATGCTGAAGCATAACATGCGCGGATCCCATTCAGAACTATAACCGCTCTCAGATTTGGTGTGCCAGTGGAGAAAACGTGCCGAAACTTGGTCTGAATGGTCGAGACATTTAATGGAATTTCATTCACACGTCAACTCCACCAAGTCTCAGAAACGAGACTGAATGCAAGCAAACTCGTAACAGACACACCCAGGCCAGATGTTATCTACAGTTTACACTAGTGAGTTCTCAGGTTTGACATATTTGATTCGTGAAAAATGCATTCGCCGTGAAGGGCTGATCATGCCATGTTAAAGACCCAGTTAAGCTCATTTCCGATGCCCGTAAAACGTTCAAGAACATATTGATGCTCTGAAAATGTCAAGCGAGGGGAAGTCACTTCGGATCACGCCACTGGCTTTCCCGGAAGTGGGGGATGTCACTTTGGGTCACGTCACTGGCCCACCCGGAGGTTGGATGAGCCATTGCAGCGCTATCCGTTTATGGGTGTTTTATGACGATTGAACGAGTCAACATACGCCAAACATATAGGGTCGGGCGGGCGGCTCCCTGGCGGGCTCGTGTCGGAGCGGGCGGACCGCCAGCCGAACAGCGGGACGGCCGGGCGGGCGGGCGGACAGCGGGAGGAGCGGGCGGGAGGAGGCGAGCGGGGGGGTGATATGACCGATGGACGGACGCGCTGTCCGCATCATCTGTGCGCCGTCTCGGTCCGGCGGTTAATGGAGCGTGGCCGGCGGCGGCTGGTAATCACCCCCTGCGTGGCTGAGGGCGGCCGAGAGATGCCGCCCGACCGTGATTAACCATTACTCAGCCAGTCGCACCTCTCCACGCGGTGACGTCGACCCGGCGGAAACAGTTCCCGGGAGGGACGGAGCGGGGGAGGAGCCTTGCTAACAAAGCTGTGCCTTCCTGCACCGCCTGCGGTGCGACGCACCCCAGTCGGAGCACATTAGATTGCCTGCGGTGTGACACATCTCGTCGGAGCACGTTGGATCGGATCGCGGCATGTGAGCGTTGTCGAACTCACGATCTTTCGATCATTGCACGAGCGGTTCGTCCTTTGCAGTATGGCATCTTTCGTTCGCGCAGGTCATCATTTCCTGCAGCTTGGGCTGCGCCTGGAAAAAGAGGAGCCATCTCCACCCTTGCATCTGGCCAGTTATATCCCAGGCTGCCAAATGCCATGCTGGGAGCTCAGCCGGGCGGCGGGAGAAAGTGGCGCAGTGTCGGCAGAAAATGCCTGGCCAGAAAAAAACAGCCACTGGAAGGCCGTCAGAAATCGTCACTCCATCGGTTGAAAACAAGCAGGCTTGGGCGCTGGCGTTCACTCTATAGATTATTGAAGATTGGAAGAGTTGAACAACAGGACTCACACAGAACCGTGGTTCCCCACCCGGGTGGGCGATTTTTCACCGCAGTTGTTTGATGCTCATGACTAGTTGTTGGTGTGGGTTTTCCAGGTCGTCTCTGGTGATTTTCAGTATTTGCGAGTGAATGGTGGGTTCATTTCTTCATCAAGTACTTCGGCTTTTTCGGAGAAATTGCCAGATTTTCATGTGCGGGGCACAATTATGTTTTTGTGCAATGCACTGGAGTAAAATAGCAAATTGTAAATCGCTATTCCACCATTGTATTGTTCGCCTGTCAGACCTGAGGCAGGTTTATTATTTGTGATGATCTTCACTCGGGATTCTAAGTTACGAAACCACTAGAATTGCTGTGGTGGTAGTCTATTGTTCGGGACTAGTTGTCCGACGTGCAAATAAGTTTCCGCTTGCTCTTGATTGCACCTGACTTTTGTTTATTGTGTATATTAATATATGCTGTATTTTGTTTGCATGGTACATAATTTACATTTTGGTTTTTGGATATTGTGTTTTATCTATTTTGTATATTATATATATATACTATATATATATATATATATATATATATATATATATATATATAGTATATATATACATCACTATTTTTTATAGTAATTGATCTGTATAATTATTGAACTAGTCTTAGCATTTTGCTCATGACGTGTAGATTTTGTTCTTTTTGTCTTCCTCCTTCGTGCGTTCCTTCTTCCGTTCATTTTTTAACCCCAGCTGATCTTATTTGAATTCTACGGCGTTTCAGCCTCTCCAGATCTATAAGCATTTTATTCTGGCCCATGCGAAGAGAAGAAAAACCACAGACCGGCCACCACCACCAGACCGCCCAGCTCTAACCTGCGGCTCGACGCACGGGTCCAACCTGACCTGACCTGACCTCGACCGACCTGTGCCCGCAGGGTACTATGCAGGGCATGAAGCTGGTGTTTGGGCCGGCTAAACGCCCACCAGACCGCCAGGGTCTAACCCACGGCTCGGCGCACGTTTCCAACCTGACCTGACCTGACATCGGTCCGACTGTGCCCGCAGGGTGCCGTGCAGGACGTGAAGCTGGTGTTTCGGGCCGCACGGCTACCTGGCTGCAGTGTCCTGACCTGGACGCCACGTGCCCCTCCTGCGGCCAGTTCCGCAGTCTTCAGGCGGCCGTGGTTCACCTGGAGAAGACTGTCGAGGAGCTCACGCAGAGGGTAGGTGGAGGAAGGGGGCGTACAGCGGACGGGACCTTGGATTCCCTCTCGGATTTGTTGGATTTGTTGAATCGAGCGCTTCACAGAAACATGAGTTGTTCAGTTCGGTGTGTTTGTAAGGAGTGGAATTGGAGGGCCTAGGCGAGAAGTCTGTACTGGATAGAAAGTCGGTGAAACACTTTCTTTTACGCCGATAGAGACTCCTATGATCACGAACGTCCCTGACTGGTCAACCTCACGGTGGCCGTGATGTGCGTGTGTTTTGGGTTAGCCAAGGCGAATACATCGGAAGCGCGTCAAAGACCCGGTGGCTCCAGTGCATGTTAGATAACTATCAATGCAGAGCCGCCGCTGAGGTCGGTCAGTGACATTGGGAGCGGATTCAGCCACCTTCCGCTCAATCATCACAGGAGAGTTGCCGTATCAGGGACGTCACGAAGACGTTTTGCAGTGCTCATCGTCGATCTGGTTCTGCGCCCGCTTTTAATAAGAGCAAAACTTTGTCTCATCCTGGCACATGACAGCAAGTAATATGTCTTAGACTTCTTCAAATGTCGGGAGAAATGACATAGTCTTGAGAGAAACGGCCACACAAACTAAAGTTTTCTCATTTGCCATCCCAGACGTATGGCAAGCCGGCATAATTTATGCACCCTACTCAGCTCCTAGTAATCAATTTCAGCTGCTGGGAGCAGTTGATGCTGAAGGACGGCGTTGCTGGCCTCTGTCTGGGCCTGACGGCATTAGGACATGCTTTTATTCAAAAGTTGTGTTGCACGCTATTGCATTCACTCTCGGCGAACATCGCATTACAGTGCCACGAGAACAAACATTACGCTGTCTCAACCTTTTGAAAATTATCAGCAGGCTGCTACTTGTCG